GGGAGCTGTAACATGAAGACAGAAACAGTGGTGCTGCAGTAGCAAGAGCGATAGCAGCATGAGACAGCAGGAACCAGGAGACCGGCGTGAGAAGGCTGCAGTGGGGCTTGCCGACCCATGGAGCTAAGAGTTGTAACACTTGCCCGAGAAGGTCCCAAGCAGGGCCCAGCAGCAAAGGGTGAGAAGAAGCTGTCCTGATCTAGAACTGCATCCTGAGTTGTTCCTGTTACTTCTGAGTTGTTCCTGATCCTGAGCTGTACCCTGTCACCTGCCTGTTAAACTACTTAACTGTAAGTACGGTTCGTGAGTTCTGTGAGATATTGCAGCAAATCATGGAACCCAAAGATGGGAGGGGGAGTACAGAGGGGAGGGTGAGTAATTGATGTTAGAGATGATGGAGTGGTACAGCAGTTTGGAAAATTTGGACATTTGGGACATCTTTAACCTCCGCCTCATAGGAACCAACTTTGTGCTGATTCTTATTAAAAAAATTATTCATCTAAGCGCTCAGCTCTCTCACTCTGTGGGTTGGCAAGTCTTGCTCCACTGACAAGTGCCCAGAAGCACCCCACTGCGCCAGCAAGCCTCCTGCCCGAAGGCTCTCATCTGTCTCACTCTGTAGGTCAACAAACCCACTGTAGCCGCCTCTCTCAGTGTGCTGGGAAGCTGACCGCATGATCTCGTGCCAGTCTCCTTGTTCTGCTGCCACTGTTTCTCTGCTGCTCCTTTTCTGCTTCTGCTTCTTGCCATCTTGCACCATCTCCTGTGTTACAGCTCTCTTGGTCTCCTGGGTCTAGGTAGCTCTCAGAGCAGGGACCCCCCCAGGTCCAAAGGACACGCTCCACTCCTAGGTCTTCTTTCTTGGTGGTAATGAGGTCCTCCCTTTCTGCCCCCTAGGATGGCTTATTTTAAGCCTAGCAGGATAGCAAAACTGACCAATCCCCTCATTAGGGCTCCATACACCTTATTTGCATGGTCCCACCCAAAAAGGGTGCCATGCACCTTATTTGCATTATTAGCAATGTTGTCCAATCCCCCTTGCTGAGCCAAAAGAACCTTATTTGCATAGTCCCACCCAATCATTTTTTAGGAGTCACTAGACCATACATAACTAGAAGGGCCATATCAAATAATTCATTGCACCACAAAACGCTTATTTTTTTATGATTCTCAGGGATTTTGTGTGTATGAAAATATACACGGTCATACACATTACAACAATTTCTACATGTACAACTCAGTGACATTGATTACATTCTTCAAGTTGTACAAACATTCTTACCATCCTTCTCCAAATTCTTCCACCACCATTTACTTAAATTCACTGCCCCCTAAGCTTCTCATCTAACTTTCGACTTACTGTTGTCAATTTGATCTCATATAGATAATTCCTTTGAAAAACACAACGCTCAAAGCAGATATATTTTACTTATTAAGATAAACTATTTTTTGGTTCAAAGAAGAGTTTAGTGGATAGTTTGGGTTTGAGATTTAAAGATTACCTCTGGCCAATAGTTTTGAAGGTTCATCCAGCTTCTATAGCTCCAGGATTCCATTGAGTGATTCTCAGGTTTTTGTTCTATACACCGCCCCATACCTTCACTGGACATAATGTTCACATTTCAGAATGTAAAAGTTGACCTAGAAATGAGTTTCAGGCCAGGCAAACAATAATCAGTTAGACCGCAGGTGTGGTCAGAAGTGTCATAAATGCCATGCCCTTTTATCCCTCAGGCCCCGTGGTCAGGGGTGGAGGGAGAGCTGTGAACCTTCTTGTAAGAAAGTCAGTTTGAAAGTTCCATGGTGATTGGAGCTGGGCCTCATCCACCACATCCTCTGGGTCTCCCTGGCCTGCTGGACTTTGTCCTCAACCAGCTGCTCCACATCACCTGGCAGAATCTGTGCTATGCCATCTACACTCACTGCCCTGCTCTGCCTCGGTGAGTTCTTGTATGAAAGGAAGATGAAATCCAGACGTCTGGGTGAGGGTAGGGCAAATTATCTCATTATCCCTCTCTTCCAGGGCTGTGTCTGAGCCAGATGATCAGCTCCCAGAAGTGTGAGTCCTTCTTTCAAAGCCTCAGAAGCACTATTCAGGGTTCAGACTGTCTCCACCTGAGAACAGCTGGGGAGGGAGGGCAGGGTCTCTGGATTGCTAGGAGCGTTTGAGACCAGCAGCTGGGTGGAAAGTAGGGTGGTGGTGGTTGGCGAGATCATCTGAAACTCCAGTCTCTGATTCCCTTTCAGATACTCTCATGAAACCCATCATTTGGGCTAAGCCCAATTCCATAATTCCCAAGGGAAACCCAGTGACCATCTGGTGCAAGGGAATTCATGAGGCTATTGAGTACCACCTGCTTTTTAAGGGACAACTTTCTGCCTTGGAGAGACAGAAATCACATGGATTGATGAACAAAGTCAGGTTCCCCATCCCAGCCATGACATTACACACTGCTGGGCGTTACAACTGCATCTATCTGAGTGGAGAGCTCTGGTCAAAGCCAAGTGACCCCCTGGATTTGGTGGTAACAGGTAAGAGAAGACAATGAACTCCTTGTCCCATTTGCTAGCTGTGGAGACATCTCCCTAGCCTAAATCCTGTCAGGATCATTTATTAATCCTTTTTAAACTCTTCCAAGCCCTACTCAGACAGTTTGTCTTGCGGTGAACCACTTCCTAAGTGTGTGTGTGTTGGGAGGATCTTCAGAGCATTGTCTCTATACAAATTTGTCTTAGGTCAGGTTTCCCAGGGAACACTTTGAGATGGATATTTGTGTGCAGGGGTATAACTTGGATGTGTCCTCAAAAACAACATCTGTGATGGGTGAGGGAAGCAAGACTAGACAGAAGGAGAAGTTGAACTATGATGCAGTTTCAACGAAGTTATCACCAAACAAACAGGAACCCTAGACCTGGGATGGGCTTTAAGAATTGTCTCCAAATGAGAATCTAGGCTCTAGGTCCTTATATGCTCAGCATCTACCAGTCATTGAATGAAGACCACTCCTAGGGAAGGCAGATCATCTTTAGCCCAGGGAAGTAGTTCTCAATCTTCACAGAGCATCAGAATCACCTGGAGGGCTTGTCAAACTACAGATGGATGCCCCTTCCCCCTGAGTTTCTGATTCACTGGCTATTGTGGATTGAATTGTGTTCCCTCAAAATATGTGTTGGAATACTAAACTCCTACACCTGTGGATATAATCCCATCTGGGAATAGGGTTTTCTTTGTTATGTTGTTGTTGTTGTGTGCTGTCAAGTCGATTCCAACTCATAGCAACCCTATAGGACAGAGTAGAACTGCACCACAGCCTAGGGTGTAATCTTATTGGGAGCAGATTGCCAGGTCTTTTCTCCTGCAGAGTAGCTCATGGGTTAGAACCCACTAGGGCTATAACTGTTGTGTCACCAGGGTTCTTTTTTGTTATGTTAATGAGGCCATATCAGTGTAGCCTCTCCCCCCACCCCCACCAAAAAACAAACAAACAAACCCATTGCCATCAAGTCAATTCCAACTCATAGCAACCCTGCTGGGCAGAGTAGAACGGCCCCCTAGGGTTTCCAAGGCCTTAATTATGGAAGCTTACTAGCACATCTTTCTCCCACAGAGTGGCTGGTGAGTTCAAACTGCCCACCTTTTGGTTAGCAGCTGAGCACTTAACCACTGCCCAAGCAGGGCTCCTTTATCAGTGTAGAGTGTATCTGAAATCCGATGACTCTTGAAATATAAAAAGAGCAGATTAGACACAGAGAGAAGCAAGAACAAATGGGGGAAAACTAGATGCCACGTGGAGATCACCAAGGAACTGAAGAACGCCAGGGCTAGAGAAGCTGAGACAAAGATTTTCCCCCAGAGCAGACAAAAAGAAACTTCCCCCCGAGCCGGTGCCCTGAATTCAGACTTCTAGTCTCCTAAACTGAGAAAATAAATTTCAATTCTTTAAAGCTACCTACTGGTGGTATTTCTGTTACAGCAGCACTGGGAGGCTAAGACAATGGGTCTATGGTGAAGCCTGAAAAATTGCATTTCTAACAAGCTTCTAGATAATACTGATACAACAGGTCCAGGGACCAAACTCTGAGAACCACTGATGTAGGGCAATTCCCAGGGAGAGATTCAGTTGTAAGCTCTCAAGAGGTAGCACTGCTGGAAGCTGGGGAAGTGAGGGCTTTAGTCTTGAAGGAGAGATCAGGGAAGGTACATCCATTACAAAGAAGTAATCTAGGAAATAGAAAGGACAGAGACTCTGGGAAGTTATATCCTGGTCTTAAGAACAAGAGGGATGGGAGATTGTCTTAGTTTCTTAGTGCTGCACTAACAGAATTAGCACAAGTGGGTGGTATTAATGAACAGAAATTTATTTCCTCACAGCTTAGGAGGCTAGAAGTTCAAATTTAGGCCACCAGCCCTAGAGGTAGGCTGACTCTCTCTCTCTCTTTCTCTCTGTCAGTGCTGGGGGAAGCTCCTTGTCTTTTTTTTCAGCTTCTTGTCCTCAGTTCCTTGGTGATCTTCATGTGGTATGGCATCTATCTTCCCCTATCTGCGCTTGCTTGCTTGTGTGTATAATCTGCTCCTTTTATATCTCAAAAGTGATTGGCTTAAAAAACTATCCCCTGAAGTCTTCTTTGATCCAAAAAAATAGTTTATCTTAATAAATAAAGTATATCTACCTTGAGTATTGTGCTCTTTTAAAGAATTATCTATATGAGATCAAATTGACAACAGCAACTCAAAAGATTAAATAAGCTCAGAGGGCAGTGGAGTCTAAGTCAATGGTGATGCAACAATTAGAAGAATGGTGAGAACGTTTGCACAACTTGAAGAATGTAATCAATGTCACTGAGTTGTACATGTAGAAATTGTTGCAATGGTGTATGATTGTGTATTAAAAAAAAATTACCATCAAGTCGATTCCAACTCATAGCAATTGGTTTAAGACACACCCTACACTGATATGGCCTCATTAACATAACAAGGAAACCCTGTTCTTAAATGAGATTACATCCACAGGTATAGTGTTAGGATTCCAACAGATATGTTGGCGGGTGGTGGATTCAATACATAACAGAAATGTAGGAGGCAAAATAAAGATGCTCTTTACCTACCAGTCACTTTGTCTCACAGGAATGTATGACATACCTACCCTCTCAGTGCAGCCTGGGCCTGAGGTGGTCTCAGGAGAGAATGTGACCTTCCACTGTCATTTGGAGACTGCAACAAACACATTCTTTCTGCTCAAGGAGGGAAGATCCAGCCGCCCACAGCAAAGATATGGGAAAAATCAGGCAGACTTCTTCATGGGCCCTATGACACCAGCCCACAGAGGGACTTACAGATGCTTTGGCTCTTATAATGACTTTGCATGGTCTTTGCCCAGTGAGCCTGTGAAACTCCTGGTCACAGGTGAGAAAACCCCCAATTTTTGCCATGTCCTCCCTGGAGCCCTAAGTGAACCCCTGCTAATGATGGGGAACAGGACAGGTGAGAAGATGATGACGGGTTAAGAGGTACCTCCCACCAATGCCCTCACAACATCCACTTCCTAGGGGCTAGTTGGTCATTCGTGAGGAAGAGTGCCAGAAGGACAGAAGGGGAAGGGTATAGGTAATAGGTAGCTAAACCAGATGCCGTGGAGTAGATTGCAACTCGTGGTGACCCCATGTGTGTCAGAGTAGAATTGTGTTCCATATGGTTCTAATAGCTGAATTTTTCAAAGCAGATCACCAGAACCTTCTTCTGAGGTGCCTGTGGGAGGACGCAAACCTTCAACCTTTAGGTTAGCAGCCAAGTGTGTTAATTGTTTGCACTATTAGGGACTCCAAACCAGTAGCTGTTGAGTCGACCCCAACTCATGGCAACCCCATGTGTGTCAGAGTAGAACTGTGCTCTAGTCTGGGTTTTCGATGGTTGATTTTTCAAAAGTAGCTTTCCAAGACTTTCACCCAAGGCACCTATGGGTGGACTCAAACGTTCAACCATTTGGTTAGTAGCTGAGCATATTAACCATTAGTACCACCCAGAGATGGCAATAGATGAGTAGACCAGAAGAAACCCAAATTGGTTACTCTTTTTTCTTGTCACCATTGCCAGGATCTATTGGAGACACCAGTTTTGCACCTACAGAGCCCAACTCTTATGATGGTGAGTAACTGATGCTTCTAAGCTCAGGGGAGGAGTTACAGCCTCCCAAAACTCTACAAACACAGTATTCATTCAACACATCCATTGAGTTCCCAGTGTGTTCCAGGCACTACAGTTTTATAAGTCAACCAAACACACAAATATTCTTGTATCCATACTGCTTATATTCTAGCAAGAGGAGACAGATCATGAGTCAAAGTCAGGATAACCAAATTAATTATAGAGCACATACAAGATGATAATATGGGAAAAGCAAAGCAGAGCAGCTAAAAGTGATTGGGAGTGCCACTTTGAGGGGGATGACAGGTAACCATATTAAGTAGGCTTGTCAAGATTGGCTTCACAGAGAAGGAGACATCTGAACAAATATTTGAAGAAGTTAAGGGAGTTTGTCCTGTGCCTATTTGAAGAAAGAGGGTTCCAGAAAGAGTGTGAATGTCCACTGCAAATGTCCTAAGGCCGGAAGATACTTAGTGTGATAAAATAACAGCAAGGAGGAGGAGGGGGTTGGAAATGACATCAGAGAGGTGATCTGACATCGTTTCCAGATAATGGTGATGGTGGTGATAGGGGTGGTGATAGGGGTGGGGTAGTAGCTCATGATGGATGGTGGGATGGGGGTCAGGTAGTAGCTCATTTAGGACCTTGAAAAAATGGTAAGACTTTGAATTATAGTGTGTGTGAGAACGAAGAAATTATATTGATTTAATAAAGAAAATGAGACTTGGATAAGAGAGATGACTTGCATGAAGACACACAATGTATTAGTTCTAGAACTCATTTCTTCCTTGGGCTTGTCTGTCTTTTGACTCTTTTACCCTACCTGCCAGATGAAGCCACTAGGACCCAAAATGTGGGATGGGGATCTTGAAAAGCTATAGAATGTCAGGGAGTATATCCAACGGAAGGAGAGGCTGAGATGGAGGAGTTCAATAACATCTTCTTTTCTTCACTTCTTCATTTTCCTGATTATCAGGAGAAGATTCTTGGGACGTCTACCCTTCAACCACAAAGACAGGATTCCAGAAGGGTAAGAAAGCATGGACTTTTGTCTCTAAAGAGAGGAGCTGGGCAAGAAGCATGATTTGCGAAGGAGAGGAGGAAAGAGATGTGTGAGATGATGTATGTATGCATGTATGTTCCCATCAGTGATCACTCTGTTCTTCTGACCTCAGAGCTTACTTTCTGGGATCACACTGCCCAGAATCTCTTTCGGATTGGCATGGCTGTCCTTATCCTGGTGTCCATAGCAGGACTACTGGTTATGGATTGGCTTAGCAGGAAACGGACTCAAGAGAGAGCCATCAGGGCTTCAAGTGGGAATGCAGGAGAAGGTTCAGAGCACAAAGACCCCTCAACAAATGACCAAGAGATGCAGTGCTAACAGGTAGAGCTGAAAGCTGATCTTTGAGCTTGGGCTGTGTGAACTCTTTGTTGGACCCATGAAGCAGAGAGACATTGCAGGAAACATGGGACAACTGTATAGAGGGAGGGATGAAAGGAGGGATAAAGATTGACCAATTGTTTGTTATAAAGGTTTCTTGGAAACACACAATATTTTCATTTATTTCTCAGTAGTCTGGTAATAGTTTGCCTCATCTAGAAGCAAGGTAGGTTTGGAAAGGTAGTCTTTACTCTAGATGGCTAGATGGCGAATTAAAAATTGGTACCTCTGTTATTCTTGAGGATTCCCTAGATAGTGTACATGGTTAATGTGCTCAGCTGCTAACTGAAGGGTTGGATGTTCGAGTCCACCCAGAGATGTCTCAGAAAAAATGCCTGACAGTCTACTTCCAAAATATCAGCCATTAAAAACCCTATGGAGCACAGTTCTACTGTGATAGACATGTGGTCGCCATGAGATGGCATCTGGTACTGGATTTATGTAGATAGGCAGGTAGGTAGGTAGGTAGATATACAGATTTGTATTTATATAAATTTATGTTCATATAGGAGTACTGGTAGCACAAGTCAGGCTGCTAACCAAAAGGTCAGCAGTTCGAATCCACCAGCCACTCCTTGGAAACCCTATGGGGCAGTTCTACTCTGTCCTGTGGGGTCACTATGAGTTGGAATTGACTCAATGGCAATGGATTTGTGGTTTTGGTTCTCATGTTTATATAATTTGTATTCTTATATTTGTTGTAAAGTAGAGGGTCAGCAAAAAAGAGAAAGACCCTCAAAGAGATGGATTGACATAGTGGCTGCAACAATGGGCTCAAACATAGCAATGACTGTGAGCATGGTGCAGAACAGGCAGTGTTTCGTTCTGTTGTACATAGGTCCGCTATGAGTCATAACCTGCTCAACGGCACCTAACAACAACATGTATGTATATATTTAAAGGGATTTATTTTAAGGAATTTGCTCACATGATTGTGGGGCTGGCAAGTCTGAAACCCATTGAGCAGGCGACAGGCTGGAAATTCAGGTAAAAGTTGTTGCAGTGTTGAGTCCACAATCCATAGGGTAGGTGGCAGGCTGGAAACTCAGGCAGGATTTCTGTTACAGTCTTGAGGGAGAATCCTTTTCCAGGAAATCTGATTTTGCTCTTAAGGCCTTCAAATGATTGAATTGTGCCCACTCAGATTATCACGGGTCATCCCCTTTACTTAAAGTCAATTGACTGTAGATGGTAAGGTAATCACATCTACAAGATACCTTCACAGCAACATCTAGACTAGTGTTTGACCAAACAACTGGGCACCATAGCCCAGCAGGCTTGACACATAAAATTACTCATCACGTCTTCTATTTGCCAAAAGAAGGGGGAAATACCTCCTTCTTAGCAGCGTTATGAAGACATGATGTCATCCTAGGCATTATCAGTGATCCACAAGTATCTTCCCCACCACCACTACCAATGGGACCTAAGTTCTCCAACTCCGAGTTAAAAACAGGAGCTAAAGCTTCAGAAAATGGGCACAATCATATGGAAGGATGTCCATCCCTCTACCCTTGCGGAGCCCTGGTGATGCAATGGTTAAGCACTTGGTTGCTAACCAAAAGGTTGGCAGTTCAAACCCACCCAGCGGCTCCACTGGAGAAAGAACTGGAGATCTGCGCCCATAAAGATTACAGCCTAGAAAACCTTATGGGACAATACTATACTGTCACATGGGGTCACTATGAGTCAGAATTTACCCAACGACACAACAAAAACTCTCCTTACTGGTCCACAGAGCTGGGGACCAATTTCCCTGGAAAATTACCCACACTGACAACCTCCAACTTTCCATCCTCAACACACTGGAAACTAGTTTGTCTCTCCACACTTCTTCTGACACTTCTGCTGTCGCAAACACTGATGAGCTTCCTGGAACATGCAGTGGACACATCTAAGCCCTTATCATTGTTCATCTGCCACTTGTATTCGACACTTGACCACATCCTCCTAGAAATAGCCACTTCACTGACTTCCTCAACACCTCCCGACTCATTTTTCTGATACTTCTTGCACCATCAAGTATTTTTTTATTGAGATGAAATTCATACAATCTAAAATGAACCATTTTAAAGTGAATGGTTTTGTGAATTTAGTACATTCACTGTGGATTTAGCACAAACCACAGCTCTAGCTAGTTCCCAAGCATTTCCATCACCTCAAAAGAAAGCACTATACCCCTTAAACGGTTACTCCCCATTTCCTTTCTCTCCCTAGTCCCTGGAAACCGCCAATCTGTGTTCTGTCTGTATGTATTTACCTATTCTGGATGTTTCATATAAATGGAATCATAAAGTATGTGACTGTTTCAGTTATCTAGTGCTGCTGTAACAAATACCACAAGTGGGTGGCTTTAATGAACAAAAATTTATTTACTCACATTGAGAAGGCTAAAAGTTCAAATTCAGGGTGCCAGCTCTAAGGGAAGTCTGTCTGCTTTGGGGGAAAATCCTTTCAGCTTCTCTTCCTCAATTTCTTTGTGATCTCCACGGGGCATCAATCTTTCCCCATTTGTGCTTGCTTGCTCCTGTACCTAATCTGTTCCTTTTAATATCTCAAAAGTGGTTGGTTTAAAACATACCCTACACTGATATGGCCGCATTAACATAACAAAGAAAACCTATTCCCAGATGGAATTACATCCCCAGGCATAGGGGTTAGGATTCCAACACATATTTTGGGGGGATCACAATTCAATCCATAACAGTGACCTTTTGTGTCTGTCTTCTCTCACTCAGCATGTTGTAGCATGTATCAGGATTTCATTCCTCGTTGTGGAAGAATGGAACATTACATTGTATGGATATAATACATTTTGTTTATTCATTCCTATATCATTCATGCTGTAAATTTATTCAGAGAGGAACCCAATCTATTGTCTGTATGTCTAGTGCCTACAATAGAGCCTGGGACAGCAGGAGAAGGATGGTTAGAGACACCATGTGAGATATGCAGATGGTGCAGCTTGAGGGGCATGTGGCTAAGTCAGGCCTGATTTAGCTATTCTGGATTTTTCATAGAAATGGAATCATACAATATGTTGTTGCTGTTGTTTTATTGTTGTTGAAAGTATACACAGCAACACATACAACAATTCAACAATTTTTACATGTACAATTAAGGGACATTGATTACATTCAAGTTGTACAGCCATTCTCATCCTCCTTTTCTGAATTGTTCCTCCATTAACATAAACTCACTGCCCCCTAAGCGTCTTATCTGACATTTCAAGTTGCTGTTATCAATCTGATGCCATATAGTTAGTTCTTCAAAAGAATAAGATGGTCAAGGCAAACATCCTTTACTAAATAAACTAACTGCTGTGCAGTGAATTACTTAGTATGGCGTTTTTAGATGTGCATGGTCTTGTAACTCCCACAATGATTGGGTGGGACTATGCAAATGAGGTGTTTATGGCCCATCAAGGGGATTGGACAGCTTGCTAACAATGCACATAAGGTGCATGGAATCTTTGCAGGGGTGGGACCATGGAAATAAGGTGTATGAAACCCTAATGATGGGATTGGTCAGTTTTGCCATACAGCTAGGCTTAAAAGACAGAAAATCCCAGGACAGAGAGGGGTCCTCACTACCACAAAGAAGAGACAAGAGCAGAGCATATCCTTTGGACTCAGGGTCTCTGCATTGAGAACCTCCTAGACCCAGGAAACAGAAAGAGAGAGCTGTAACACTGGAGACAGTGAAGAGACAATGAGAAGTGGCAGCAGAACCAGGAGACCACCACAAGATGGCACAATGGGCTTCCCAGCCCACGGAGCAAGGCGGCTACAGTTGGAGTGCCAACTCACAGAGCTAAAGAGCTGGTCTTCGGGCCAAGGCTCACTAGCTGAGTGTAGTGCCTCCGGGCACTTATTCGTGGAACTAAAAAGCCCTTTGTAATACCTGCCCAAGCAAGGCAGGGGCCAAGGGGCTGAGGGGCTAAAGGGCTGAGGGCCAGAGAGAGGCCTGCCTGGGGGCATGGCTGAGAAGAAGCTATCCTGATCAAAGAACTGTATCCTGAGTTGTTCGTGATCCTGAATGTAATTTGTTACTTCTCTAATAAACCCCATAATTGTATTGTCTGTGAGTTCTGTGTGGCCATTGCAAGGAATTATCAAACCCAGCAGAGAAGTACAGTGCCGTGGTAGGGATGGCTGCTGTCAGAATTTGTAAAAAGGCTGAAGGGTGGAGGTATGTTTGACCTCCACCCCAAAGGAATTAGTCATGGGCTTATATTGATCTTGATTCTCTCTCCTTCCCCTTGTGAAGTTAGACGAGGAGGTCTGACGCCACCATACCATTTTTATACTGACTGTTTGCTTTAAAGAAGACTTGAGGGGATATGTTTGGTTTAAGGTTCAAAGATTATCTCAGGGCAATACACAATATGTTTTAAGTTTCCTCTTTTATGGCCCAGCTCTCCAACAGTTCTCTTTAGGGTTCTATAGTAGATCCACCATTCACTGGGTTGACCTCATCCAATTCTATGATTTCAGTCTTTCTAAGGTTCAGACTCAAATCTTTTTCTCTGAGCCACAATTTTCTCCAGAACCCCAGGTTGTTTTTACCAGCCTCTTCCAACCAACCTAAATGGGTATTTCTTCTATAAGGATCAGCATAAAGCTGGTTCCTATGAGGTGGAATGTAAAAATGACATGGTAGAGGCGTGTGACCTCCTCTAACTTCACAAGGGGGAAAGAGAATCAAGATCAACAGCCCAATGCTGATTCCTACAAGGCAGAGGTCAGACATAACTTGTCTCTACAGCCCTTTTTACTGATTCTGACACCACCTGTCCCTCCCAAGGCACGCTCTACTTCTCTGCTGAGTTTGATAATTCATTGCAATGGTCATGCAGAACTCAGACAACACTCACGATTATGGGACTTATTAGAAAGTAATAGGTTACAATTCAGGTTTAGGAATGTTCAGGATACAGTTCTTTGATCAGGACAGCCTCTTTTCAGCCATGCCCACAGATATGCCTCTCTGGCCACTTGGCCTCTGCCCTACTCAGGCAAGCATTACAAAGCTCTTTTAGCTCTGCCGATAAGTGCCCAGAAGCGCCCCACTCTGTCAAGAAGCCTTGGCCCAAAGGTGCTCAGCTGTAGCTCTGTGGGTCAGCAAAACTAACTCCACCAAGAGTCCAGAGGCACCCTACTCCCCTCAGTACTCTCCCTCCCATCTTTGGGTTCGGGAATTTGCTGCAACGTCTCACAGAACTCATGAAGCATACTTACAGTTAAGTGGTTTATTAGGGAAGCAACAGGGTACAACTCAGGATAGGATCAAGTTGGAAGTAACAGGAATAACTCAGGATGAAATTTCTTGATCAGGACAGCTTTTTCTTGTCCTTTACTGCCTGGCCCTGCTGGGGGCCTTCTCGGGCTAGTATTACAACTAGCTCCTTGGGGCAGCAAGCCCCAACTGCAGCCATTTCACACCAGTCTCCTGGTTCTGCTACCTTTGCTGCTACTGCTGTTTGTCTGCCACTGCTTCTCATCATCTCTCGTATTATACCTCTCCCTCTCTCTCCTGGTTCTGCTGCCTGGCTTCCATGTTACAGCAGCTCTTCTTTCTCTCTCTCTCCCTGTCTCCATTTAAGCCTAGCGGGATGGCAAAACTGACCAATCCCCTCGTTAGGGTTCCACATACTTTATTTGCCTGGTCCTACCCTCACAAGGCTGTCATGCACCTTCTTTACATTATTAGCAAGCTATCCAATCCCCTTGGTGGGCCAAAATCACCTTATCTGCATAGTCCTACCCAGTCACTTGGTGGGAATTCTAAAGACTATGGCTAGAAGAACCATAAGTAATTCACTGCATGCCACAACCTAAACACATTGTCTTCCTACCACCAAAACTGTTCCTCTAATTTAGAAAAATTCTAACCCTATTCACAGTTGCTCTGCCCTCTTCTCTATACCTGTACTTATGTTTTGATGCTCTGATCACTGATGGAAAAAGTCCTGGTGGTACAACGGTTAAGTGCTCAGCTGCTAACCCAAAGGTTGATAGTTTGAAACCACCCAGTGGCTCTGCGGGGAAAGAACTGGTGATCTGCTTCCATAAAGATTACAGCCAAGAAAACCCTATGGGGCAGTTCTACTCTGTAACACATAGGGTCCTTATGAGTCAGAATCCACTGAACAGCACCTAAGAACTTGGGCTTCTCAGTAATACGTTTTCCTAGACTAAGTGCACTAAGAATAAAGTTTATTCTACATTAGCTGTTGGGCAGAGGGCATATGAATAAATGTACCTTCAAACAAAGTGCTTTAACATTCATTTTATTATCCTTCACATCCTATGTGAGATAACACTTTGATATGAAATGGGTCCATGATTTGTACAGAATTTGCTATAAATCAGAACGAGAGAGAAAACTAACACTAAAGTCTACATTTTAGAGTGTAATTAACATTTGATTCTGTCTTATAAAGAGATCATATTCCCCCTTCCAGACATGCAACTAGTAGAGAATGACGCAGGGCTTTCAGAAAAGAAAATCACAACTTGAGGGCTCGTTTGTCCTGGCATCACTGCATTCAATTGTCAGTTGTGGGTTGCTTTCTTTCACCTCCTCCAACAGCTTCTGAATTTCCACATTAGACTCATCTATTGTCAACCTGGGGATCAGAGAAAATGAGTGTTTCCTGGTCACCTTGTTTTCCTGTTCTAAGTGATTCATTCTAAAGAACCAAAATGCCTGAAAATCTCCTGCATCAAGGCACTCATAGCAAGAAACTTTTTTTTAGACAATTTGGACCCACAAAATAGAGAACTATAGGAGTCCCTGAAGGAGCCCTGGTGATGTAGTAGTTAAGCGCTCAGCTGCTAACTGAAAGGTCAGCAGTTCAAACCCACCCAGAGGCACCTCAGAAGACATCCCTGGCAATCTACTTCCCAAAGGTCACAGCCTTGAAAACCCGAGGGAGCAGTTCTACTCTGTACACATGGGGTCACAATGAGTTGGGAGTCAACTCGACAGCAACTGACAACAACATATAAACATAATTTAAAAATATATATCAGAATAATGTCAGACAGAACAACGTAATGGATCTGCGGTGACTTCAGCTATTTCAACGATTATCACATGGTATCTGGTGCAAGTTCTAACCCTGGTTATCTACGGTATAACTCTTCAAATGTCTACCTTTCCTACCAGCAATTTCTCTGTACACCCTGACTTAGGCCATAGCTGCTACCAGCTAGAGGTGAGGGATATATGCATGACAAGTACATAGTGCCTCTAAACCAGCTAAAGGAGCCCTGGTGGTGCAGTGGTTAAAGCACTCGACTGCTAACCAAAAGGTCAGTGGTTCGAACCCACCAGTCGCTCTGTGGGAGAGATGTGGCAGTCTGCTTCCATAAAGATTTACAGCCTTGGAAACCCTATGGGGCAGTTCTGCTCTGTCACTTTGATTCAGAATTGAATTGACGGCAATGGGTTTTTGGTAAACCAGCTAATCTCTTCGGGAAATTTAGTTAGATATCAGCTAGTCACTGATATTCAGTGGAACTAAAATGGTAGAGTCCCTGGGTGGTGCAAACTATTAACGTTCTAAGCTACTAGCCAAAAGGTTCAAGTTCACCTAGTAGTGCCTCAGAAGAACCCGACTGGTGATCTGCTTCTGAAAATCAGCCACTGAAAACCCTGTGGATACTCTGGCACACACGGGGTCACCGTGAGTTGGAATCGACTCAATGGCAACTGGTTTGGTTTTACACTAGAAGGATGCTATTGACAGATCCCTTACATTGATTCCTGTCAAGTGTGCTTCCCTCAATCCCACAAACTACTCTTGTGATGTGAAATTCACCAGGTGAAACAGAAAGGCCATACCTGAGTTTCTGTAAGAAGCCATTCTTTTGTTTTAAAGCTTCAAAGAGCAGTGTAACTCCACTCTGTCCCAAGATATTCTGGCCCAGGTCCAGACTTTCCAGGCTGTTATTGTTGATGAGAGCTGAGGCAAGATCTTGACAACAGAGAGTTGTGATGGAACAGCCCCAGAGCCTGTTGAGGAAAAAGTAGAGAAGCCCACTCATTCATGGAGCATTTGACTGAGACATGAAGAAAGAAGCAATGCAGAGCTCCTCATTCTGTTGATGGAGGCATTGTATTTCCCAGAGTAGTGTTCAATCTGGAGCTCACTACATATTGAGCTGGGCAGCACAATTGCTTCCTGATCACTGGATCTGGAAGCAAGTGTTCTTACTTTTGTTTATTGTTGAAAACATACACAGCAAAACATACACCAATTCTGAGTAGTGTCTGGGGTCTTAAAAACTTGGCACGCAGCCATCTAAGATACAACTACTGGTGTCTACTCATCCAGAGCAAAAGAGAAAGAAGGAAACCAAAGACTCAAGAAACTTGTCTACAGTACGAAACTAATAGTCTAGAAGAACCACAGCCTCATCCACCCTGAGACCAGAAGAACTAGATGGTGCCTGGCTACCACTACCAACTGTTACTATCAGGGACACAATAGATGCATCCTGATAGAATCAAAGTTCAGACTTATTGGACCGGTTGGGACTAGAGGACTCCCTGACACTATCGCCCTGAGACACTCTTTAAACCAGCCCCTGAGGTTTCCTTTTAGCTAAATAACAGATTGGCTCACAAAGAATATCACAGTGAGTACTGTGCTGCTTTAAAAAAAAAAAAAAAAAAAAATCAACTAAGACCAAACAGTCAACAATTATTTTAAAATAAAATAAGAAGGTAAGGGAGAAAGGAAACTAGATTAATGGAAACCAGAATGGAAATAATAAGAACGTTGACACATTGTGAAGAATGTAACCAATGTCACTGAACAATCTGTGTAGAAATAGTTGAATGAGCAGTGTAAACCTTCACTGAAAATATTTTTTAAAAAATACACCAATACAACTATTTCTGTGTGTATAACACAGCGACACTGATAACATTTTTCAAGTTGTGCAGCCATTCTTATACTCCTTTTCCAAATTGTTCTTCCTCTATTGTTATAAACTCATTTCCTCCTAAGCTTCCTATCCAACCTATCAAGTTGCTGTTAACAATTTCATCTCATATAGTAAGTTTCTGAAAATGGCACAAAGCTCAGGGCAGACATTTTTTATCAGTTAAGTTAGACTGTTATTTGGTTTAAAGAAGGCTTCAGGGCATATACGTGTATGTCATTTGTTGTTGTGTGCCATTGAGTCGATTCTGACTCACAGGAACCCTATAGGACAGGGTAGAACTGCCCCATAGGGATTCCAAGGAGTGGCTGGTGGATTTGAACCACCGACCTTTTGGTCAGCAGCCTGAACTCTTAACCACTACACCACCAGGCTCCATATTATGTGTATATGTTTGTGTATGTGTGCGCACGCACACGTTTATGCACCTGTACGATTGTAGACACATATTTATATAATAAAGCACATGGGGGGGGCACAGTGATGGATACTTGGGATTGGATTTCTGGGTTTGAAGGATTAGGCGTTTCTAGAACTAGCTAGAAGCCATAGTTAACCAGCAGGTGTTAGTTTTATGAGAGCAAGAGCTCCAAAAAAGTCAAAACTAGATAGAATTTCTGAACAGGAACAAGTATCCAATCCTATGCAATCTCTTGAATGTTGTCCTAACTATGATTCCAATGTGAATAGAAATTTCGTGCTGGGCTTGTTCCCATATAACAAGGGTCGGCAAACTATAGCCCATGGGCTAAATATGGTCCCCTACCTGTTTTTGTAAATAAAGTCTTATTGGAACCAAGCCAAGCTCATTTCTTTAGACGTTCACACAATAACAGAGTTGAGTAACAGAAACAGAAACCACATGATCCACAAAGCCTCAAATATTTACTATCCAGCCCTTTACAGAAAAATATTTTCCAACCCATACCAGCTAAGTCAGGTCCCTGGATGGTGAAAGTGGTTCGTGCTCAAAACCTAACAGAAAGGCTGCTATTTTGAATCCAACCACCAGCACTGCAGGAGAAAAGACCTGGCAATCTGCTTCCGTGAAGATTACTGCCAAGAAAATCCTATGGAGGAGTTCTACTTTTTCATATGGGGTCACGAGTTGGAACTGACTTGACGGCACCTAACAATAACAACAATATAACTCAATCCAGTCACAACTGCAGAAGAATTATGTTATATGAACTTTAAAGAACATATACAAAACATCAGACCTGAAAACCAATCACCTACCCCAAATCCCCATAGAAGGAAAGAGTCAGAAGGTTAAACCTGTACTGAAGGACATGCAGAGGTTAACATCTTTCCTTGGTTCTATCCATTCTTCCTCTAATTCTCACCCAGGTTATTACCAATTACGTTCAACTTGGGCTATTTAGAAAAATTATTAAGTGCTCTCATATCTGTTCTAGTTGAATCCAGGGTGTACATACACCTATATATACATACACAGAAACACATACATTAAGGCAGCAGTGGACACTTACACCAGGGTCTGGAGTTTACAGTCGGGGTAGCTCAAGCCCTCACACAGAAGCCGCACCCCACCATCCCCAAGCTCATTCTTTGCCAATGACAGATGTGTCAGCTTCTGGTTGATGATTAAAGCAGAAGAGAGATCCTTGCAACTGGCTTCTGTAAGATGACAATTTTCCAACCTGCAGAAGCATCACACAAATGGTAAGATGGTGGGAACACTTCCAAAGTCCAACCTTCTTGGCTGCCTCCAAATGCTAGAGTCCTCAGCTACAGCCCTTCTTGTAACTCCCCTCCCCTCTCTGTGCTAGTGATCACAACCATGAAGGAAGAGGAAGAAGAACAAGATGCCTGGGCCATACACCTATACCAAAAATGGTCTAGGGGTTTCCATCAGTAGGAGGGTCCATGTGTTGCTCAGCATGCTCTCAATACCAGGTGTAACCACTGCTCTTCTCCCCATGGCCCCAGACCTAAAACTGAGATGCTCCACAGGACCAAGATGAAAGACTTACGATAATATCTGCAGAGAGCACCTTGGGTGTTTCAGAGCCATACACAGCAACTTCACATCCTCACCCGAGAGCTCACTGGCTGTAAGGTTCAGGCATGTCAGGGATTGGTTGATTTCGAGGGCTGAGAAGAGATTATCCCATTCCTCAGTAGTAGCCAAACAAGATCCCAACCTGCAGGAGAAATGGGAACGAGTTCATCCTTGAGAGTCCAAACACTGTATAATCATCTCCAGTTTTACATCAACTTCACACCATCATCCAAGAGCTCACTGGCTATGTGGTGCAGGCATGTCAGAGACTGGTTGTTTTCAAAGGACAGCTAGAGACCAGCCCATTGCTGACTGATGGCTGAACGAGATCCCAACCTGCAGGAGAAACAGGGGCAAGTAATTCTTCTAGGCAGACACAGACACTAAATCAGCATATTATGCTTCCTTGAAGATTGTCTCCTTGTTTTCCATCTCATTCTACTCCAATATGTATCCAACCCCAGCCTGAATTATGAGAGAGATCTGGTCACCTCTGCATCTTCAAATATCCTCAAGGCCACCTGATCAACATCCACGTCTCATCTCCAAGAGCAAAAGAAATATGAAATATATTTCTCTTAGAAGTGTCATCAACATGGCCTGCGAGTTCTCAAACGCCACTTTCCATCACAACCACTTTCTGTGCCTCAATCTGTCTTAATCCCTCTTAGATTTAAATATGTTTCTACAAGAAATTACTGATGCTCAATAACCCCCCCCCAAAAAAATCATAAGTTATTAGGAATATTCAAAATAAAGCAACAAGATGCAATTTGATACATAGGCTAGATAAATAAATAAAACCTATTGCTGTTGAGTCAATTCTGATTCATGGTGACCCCGTGTGTGTCAGAGTAAAACTGCTCTGCAGGATTTTCAATCGCTGTAATCTTACAGACTTCATGACGCCACAGGGTAGATTCAAACCACCAACTTTTTGGTTAGCAGCCAAGCACTTAACTGTGCCACCCAGGGACTCCAGGCAGTCAGGTCCAAAGTTTGAGTTTAAGTGTTGCAAGGATGAGGAGAATTGGGAACTCCTTCTGCTCATGAGGGAGCGCTGGTAGTACAGTGGTTAAGAGATACTGCTGCTAACCAAAAGGTCAGCAGTCCAAATCCACCAACCGCTCCTTGGGAACCCTATATGGTAGTTCCACTCTGATCTATAGGGTCGCTATGAGTCAGAATCAACTCTATGGCAACAGGTTTGGTTTTGTTTTCTACTGATCCCAGATATCAGGCTCTGCAATCCAGCTACTCTTATACGCACTCACAACATGCAAAAGTGCATTTCAGATGAAAGCAAGGACTCTGAGACCAGCTCATTGCTTAAAACATGGTACTGCCTCTATGTACAAGATTCTTTACAAGTTAACCTTTCCAATTATAAGATTTCTTTGTTCCCATATGTACTTTGGGGAAAGACAATATTTTCATGTCAGTGACTAAAGAGATAATCCACCCACATATTGTGAATGTTTGTCACATGAGTAAACCTGGAGTTCTTAGAACCAATACTTTTGCTCCCTCATAGTTTAAACTATAATGTTTTTGTTGGGTGTTTTGAGTCTATTTTCAACTTATAGTGACCCATGTGACAGAGTAGAACTGCCCCATAGGGTTTTCTTTGCTGTAATCTCTTCAGAAGCAGATCACCAGGCCTTTCTTCCACAGCACCACTGGATGGGTTTGAACCGCCAACCTTTGGGTTAGCAGCCAAGTACTTAACTATTGTGCCGCCAGGGTTCCTTTAACGTATAATAAGGACATTATAAATCTACGTAACGTAATCAGAACACAAAGTAGAAAGGTAAGTGCCTGAAATCAAGTGAGCATAAATAGGAGATTCTGTATCAGCGCTTAGAGCACTTAGAAAACAGCTCAAGATCATATAGGTAATAAATATCAGAGTAAGTACCTGAGCACATTTGAATTCTAAAAACGTGTGTTGCTACCCAGTATCTTCAGACTGCTAATCAACTAAATCAAGAAAAACGGTGCCTGAAATGCTAGTGATGATAATCAGTATTCATTAGGACAGCAATCAATCCATGGGGAGAGGGAATTTCTCAAACCAATAAGTTACCAGGAACCAGGATACTTGATGCTTCTACAATGTCACTGAATGATAAGTTAAAGTTGATGACTGCTCTGATCACAACAGGTAGGCAACATGCAATTTGAAATATCATGTCCCTAGGCTAAAGGATCCACCAGCCATCCTCAGTTTGTGGTGGCTGACTGGTTGACATGTTGCTCTGATGCTGCAAGCTATGCCACCGGTATTTCAAATATCAGCAGGGTCACCCATGGTAGACAAGTTTCAATGGAGCTTCCAGACTAGGAAGACAGACTAGGAAGAAAGGCCTCGTGATCTAGTTCTGAAAATCAGCCAAAGAAAACCCTATGAATCACTACAGAATATTGTCTGGTACAGTGCTAGATAGAAAATTAGCCCCCTGCATTGGAAGGCACTCAAAATATACAGCAGCCCCAACAGTGGACTCGAGCATACCAATGATGTGAAGGTGGCACAGGACCAGGAATGTTTTCTTCTGTTGTACATTGGGTGGCCATGAGTCAGAGCTGACTCCATGGCAACTAACATCAGTAACAGACTAGAGGATGACTAAAAGTTCTAGATGTTTCTTTAGACCAGCTGGCTGAGAGAAGAGTAGAGGCTGAAACCCCACTGTTGTCACGGCTGCTGTTACATGCTGTCGAAAATGTTCCAACTCATAGAGACCCCGTGTACAACAGAAACACTGCCAGTCCTGTGTCATCCTCACAATCGTTGCTACATTTGAGCCCCCTGTTGCAGCCACTGTGTCACTGCATCTCACTGAGGGTATTCCTGTTTTTTGCTGACCCTCTAACTTTACTAAGCATGATGTCCTTCTCCAGAGACTGGTCCCTCTTGATAACATGTCCAAAGTACATGAGATGTGGTGTCACTATCCTTGCTTCTAAGGAGCATTCTGGCTGTAGTTCGTCCAAGACTGACTTGTTCATTTTTCTGGTAGTCCATAGTATATTCAATATTCTTTGCCAACACTGTAATCCAAAGGCAACAATTCTTCAGTCTTCCTTATTCACTGTCCAGCTTTCGAATGCACATGACGTGATCAAAAATATCATGGCTTGGGTCAGGGACACCTTAGTCCTCAAAGTGACATCTTTGCTTTTAACATTATGAAGAGGTCTTCTGCAGCAGATTTGTCCAGTTAAATAACAACCCCTAGGTCCTATCAAAGTAGCAACCTTTTTTTAATTCACACAGCGCACTCTAGCTCACAGATCCTTCTTTAGATGATGTCTTAGTCTCCTAGTGCTGCTGTAACAGAAATATCACAAGTGGGTATCTATAAAGAACAGAAATTTTCTCAGTTCTGGAACCAGAACTCTGAATTCACAGTGCGGCTCTAGGGGAAGGTCCTTCTTTGTCTATTTCAGTTCTATTAGTTGGCAAGCCTTTGAGTTTCTGGGCTTGTACAGTCAACTGCCTGGTCATCATCAGATTGATTCTTTCCCATTTGTGCTTGTCTCTGTGTCTACAGGTCCCTGGGTGGTACAAACGGTTTAAGCTCACCTGCTGTGGTGCAGTGGCTCACTTTTGTGTGGCCTTTCTCGCCACGGTCTTGTGATTCTCACCTAAATGATTAGGTAGGACTGTACAAATAAGGTAATTGTGGCCCACCAAAAGGATTGGCCAATTTTCCCATTCCACTAGGCTTAAAAGACAGCCAGTTCTAGAGCAGAGAGAGGATCCCACCACCACCAAGGAATAAGAGCCAGGGCTTCTTTGGACCCAGGATCCCTGTGCCAAGAAGCTCCAGGAACCAGGAGAATGGGAGACACAGAGCAGTAACACGGCAGAAGGCGAGAAGCAGTGGCAGAGAAACGATGGCCAGGGATGGCACAGTGGACTTCCTGCCCCATAGTGGGAGAAAGCTGAGTGCCTTTGGGCAGGAGGCTTGCTGGAGAAGTAGGGTGCTTTTGAACACTTAGTGGAGCTAGGTTTGACAACGCACAGAGCTAGAGCTCAGTGCCTTTGGACCGAGGCTTACTGGCAGGGTGGGGTGAGTCTGGCAGTCCACGGTACATTCTTTTCGGCAGAGCTAAAAGAACTTTGTAACACTTCCCCGAGTAGAGCAGAGGCTGAGAGCCACAGAAGCACGCCTGTGACCACAGCTGAGAAGAGCCTGTCCTGATGATAGAACTTTACCCTGAGCATTCCGAAACCTGAATTGTAACCTGTTACTTCCCTAACAAACACCATAATCATGAGTATTGTGAGTTCTGTGTGGCCACTGCAATGAATTACTTAACCCAGCAGAGAAGGAGAGAGTGCCGTGGGAGGGATGGTTGCTGTCAAAATGGGTAAAGATGGTGGAGAGGAGGCTTGTCTGACCTCTGCCTCAAAGGGATCAGCCTTGGGCTGTTGATCTTGCTTCTCTTCCCTCTGTGAAGTTAGAGGAGGTCAGATGCTGCCTCCAATGCCGTTTTTACACCTGCTAACTGAAAGGTTGGAGAGTACACCCAGGTGCCTCAGAAGAAGGAGGGGGTGATCGGCATTCAAGAAAAAAAAAGAAAAAGGCAAAAAAAAAAAAAAAAAAAAACAAGAGCCATGGAAAACCCCATGGAGCTCACTTCTACTCAGACACACATGGTGTCACCAGGAGTCGGAATTTTTTTTTTTCTATGTTGATCTCTTTTTCATCTCTCTCAGAGATTATTAGGTTTAGGACACACCCTACATTGATATGGCCTCATTAACATAAAAAAAGAAAATTATTTCAAAACAGGATTAAATCTGCAGATATATGGGTGAGGACTCCAATACATATTTTTGGTCAACACAATTCAATCCATAATAGGTGGTAAAAACACTGTCTTAGTTATCCAGTGCTGCTGTAACAGAAATACCACAAATGGGTGGCTTGAATGAACAGATATTTATTTTCTCACAGTTTAGGAGGCTAGAAGTCTGAATTCAGCACAAGGGCTTTAGAAGGCTTTCTCTCCCTGTCGGCTCTGGAAGAAGGTCCTTGTCTCTTCTGAGCTTCTGCTCCTGCGTTGGTGGTATAGTGCCTTCCGAGTGGCATATAGTGGCATAGCTGCCTTCCAAGCTTCTGCTCCTGGGTGATCTTCATGTGGCTTGGCATCTCTCTTCCCACATCTCTGCTTGCTCACTGGCTTGTTTAATCTCTATATCAAGAGATTGACTTAAGATACACCCTACACTCATGTATTATTAACAAAGACAACCCATTCCTAAATGGGATTATATCCACAGGTACAGGGGTTAGGATTTACAACACATATTTTGGGGGGGACACAATTCAATCCATAACAGATGGTAAGAACACCAAAGACCATGAGATATACCTCAGATACTGAAGGTTGCACTTGGTGTGTCTCAGGGCCTCACGCAATAGCAGTAGCATCTTCTCACTGTGGACGCTTCCTTCCAGGATCAAGTGTGTTAGAGTCCTCTTACCAATGACAGCCAGACAGAAGTCCCGATAAGCTTCAACAGGGGAGACGTTTTTAATTCTAGGGAAAATAAAAGGAAAGGATTCCCTCTTAAGTTCTTAAACCTTACATTTTACAGTACCAGTTGCTGTTAAGTCAATTCCGACTCACGGTGACTCCATATGTGTCTGAGTAGAACCATGCTCAACAGGGTTTTCAGTGGATGATTTTTTGTTTAGTAGATTGCTAGACCTTTCTTCCAAGGTGCCTCTGGGTAGACTTTAACCTCCAACCTTTGGATCAGCAGCTGAGCAAGCTAACCATTGCACCACCCAGGGAATCCTACATTGTATAGAGAATTATGTAAACAAAACGATGCAATATGGTTCAGATTGAGGAACCATTAGAATCTCTCCTTCCTTCATTAATTGTCTCAACCTTCTGCCAGTGGGAAATAATGAATCACCACAGTCATTTCACACAAGTGCTTTACTTTCATACCAATTTTCACTAAAATGACTTGATGTAATACGATTCTCCCACTAGACACATTTAAGTAGGAACGCTCCGTATCTTTGCATCCTGAGCACCTGGTTGGAGCCCAGCCACACATTGAAAGATTGCTCCCATATTAAAAATGGAGAGTTCCTCGGTGGTGCAAATGGTTAAGCACTCAGCTGCTAACCGAAAAGCTGGAGGTTCAAAGTCCACCCAGCTGCACCTTGCAAAAAAGGCCTGGCGATCTACTTCTGAAAGGTCATGGCCTTGAAAATCCTATGACCTATATACCAATGTTCATTGCAGCATTTTTTTTATAATTGCCAAAAGGTGAAAACATCTGAAATGCCCTTCAATAGATGAATGGATGAACAAAATGTGGTACATACACACTTGGAATACTACTCAGCTGTAAGGAGAAATGAAGTCCAGATGCATGCCACAATACGGATGAACGTTAAAAACATGTTGAGCAAAATAAGTCAATCACAAAAGGACAAATACTGTATGAGCTCACTTATATGAAGTGAGCAAATATACGGAGACCAAATATTTGTAGTGGTTACCTGGGGTAGGAGGGAGAGGAGAAGAGGCAGCTTCCGCTTAGGGGGCATTGCGTTTATGTTAATGGCGGTGGAATGATTTGGAACAGGATAGTTAAGAATGGTTGCACAACTTCAAGAATACAATCTATGTCACTGAATTGTAGAAATTGTTGAGATGGCATAGATTTTGTTATGTATATTTTCACCACAATAAAATTAAAAAGAAAATCCTACATAGCACAATTCTACTCTGACACATAGGGTCACCATGAGTCTGAGTCAACTCGACAGCAAATCGATACTACAAACTCAAGAAGGTTGGCCATGTGTTATGAATTGTGTCCCCCAAAAATGTGTGTTGTAAATCCTAACCTCTGTGCCTACGGTTATAACCCCATTTTGGAACCAGTTGTCTTCACTATGTTAATAAGGTAGGATTACTATAAGATGGATCTTGAGTCAATCTCTTCTGAGATAAAAGCTTAAAACAAGAAAAGCTAGCAAAGCAGAGATAGGGGAAAGAGGGATGCAAGCCACATGGAGATCTCCAAGGAACCAGGAAACAAGCTGAAGAGACAAGGACCTTCTCCAAGAGCTGACAGAGAGAAAGCCCTTCTCCTAGAGGCAGAGCCCACTTCTAGCCTCCTAAACTGTGAGAAAATAAATTCCTGTCTGTTAAAGCCCTCCACTTGTGGTATTTCTGTTATAGCAGCACTAGATAACTAAGACATCGCGCCTAGGGATTTTCATCACAGACTAGCATCTACTTACACCACCTTCTGGAGATTACAGGCAACGCGGGCCATCTGCTCACAAAGTATCCTCACCGAGGTGTCACTCAGGAAGCTGTGACTCACATCCAGAATGCTCAGATTCTCATTTGAGCTGACCACAGAGCAGAGGTCCACCCAGAGAGGAAGAAAGCGGTAATCACGCCGGGACCTGTGAAGAAACGACAAAGAATACTTACTGAAAAGTACATATGGGGACAATGTAACAGGCACTGGTTTTTGTTAGCTGCCATCAAGTTGGCCCTGACTCATGGTGACCCCGTGGCACTATGGAACAAAATGCTGCCTGCTCCTGCATCATCCCCATGAGTCCTCACAGATTGGACCATTGTGATCCATAGGGTTTTCATTGGCTGATTTTCAGAAGTAGATCACCAGGCCTTTCTTCCTAGTCTTAGTCTGGAAGCCCTGCTGAAACCCGTTCAGCATCATACCAACATGTGAGCCTCCGATGACAGACAGGTGGTGGTTGCACATGAGGTGCGTTGGCTGGGAATCGAATCCGGGTCTCCCGCATGGAAGGCGAGAATTGTACCAATGAACCACCAGGGTCCTCAACAGGTACTGGCAGGGAGGGAAAAACGTTTGAAATAGTGACAACGTCTAAGACTGCCCTGGGCCCAGTCCCAATATGAAAACTATAATAATAAAACAAGATCTGATTCCAAAGCCCCCTTCTTAATCATGACAGCATGCCTCCCACCTTGGAGGTGAAGGAGGCAGGAAGTCCAATAAGAGGGAAAATTCTGACTCTAAGCTACAGGAAATAGGAGAAACTTTGGCTTCTTCCTAATGGAAAATGGGATGAAGGTTGAAGATGGAAGACCTAGAAGGGAGACCTAAATGAGAGTCCTTACCTCTCAACCCGAGAGCCTGATTCCAAGGAAGTATCATTCTCCAGAAAGATCCCTTTTTCAACCTTCAATGACATTTTCTCCAAATTTTGACAATGCTTGAGGCAGAAAGAAGCGTGTACAACATCTGTTTCATTTTTCAACCTCAAGGACACTTCCTTGAAATGGGCCATTGCATCCTTCACAAACTCCTTCTCCTGAGATTCATAGAGAGAGTGAAAAACATCCTTCATGCTCATCACTGAGAAAGGTTTGTTCTCATCGGACTTCACTTTCCATCTTAGCAATTCCTGTTCGACCTCTGTTGACACTCGGCAGCCAAACGTTGTCTCCAGCTCCCTAGCTCTCTTTTCATTTGAGAGGCCAAATAAGAAGTATCCCACCTGGGTCAGGATGGGGTTCTTTAATCTTTCTTCCTTGGACAGCAGCTTCTGCACATCCCCAATGTTCCCCTTGTGGATCTCCCTGTCTTCTTCCTCCTCGCTCCCCAGAACATAAAACATGGCAGCAAAGAACTGCTGGACACTGAGGTGGATGAAGGAGTAGCAGCCTTCACAGTCCTTGCTCTTCTGAAGGATATTCTTGTCCAGGAAAGGGCCAAGTTCAGACTCCTTCACCCCAAGTCTCTTGAGGTCTTCTCCATCAAACACAGATGTCTGCGTCCATACACCCTCAGTTGCCAGGAGACACACAGCCTTCACTGGGGCTTGGAGGCACCAACCCCGCCAGCTGTCAGGTACCGGCATGAACTGGCTGCAGACGAAACGCAGGAACAATGATGTGGTGGTTTGGCAAGTGGGTGTGGGGTCCTCTCCATTCTCCATCTGCAGCTTCAGACAAGTACAGACAATCCAGCACACCATGGGTGCTGAGCCCATGCTGAACAAGGCCGTATTGCTCCTCATCAAGTCGAAAGCTCGCAGGGCTTGGTCCTCATCTTGGAAGTGTTTCAAGAAATACTCCTTCCTGTCCATCTCCAAGAAGCCCTCCATTTCTATGAGGAGTGGCTGCTGCATTAAGAGCCAGAGCTGTCTCAGCGCCCAGGGTCGTGTGGTGATCAGGAGAGTTGCTCTGGGGAACATTTTCCTTGTCAGCAAACTACTCAAGAGGATGGGCACTGGCTTCTGCTGCTTCCAGTCACCACATATATCACGGATCAGTGCCCCAGGGGGGAATCTCAGTTCATCAAAACCATCAATGATGATCAGGATTCTCTGTGATTGGTCTAGAACCTCCAGAATGGCATCCTGCAACTCTGGACAGTCCTTGGAAATCAGCTCAGCACAAGTGCACGGCCCCATCTGGTTGAGTTCCTTGCAGCTGAGATAGAAAGCATATTTGAATGTCTTTTTGAGGTTGTCCTCTGTCCACTCCAGCATCAAATTTTTGGCCAGTGTGGTTTTCCCAACACCAGCAGGCCCTTGCAGCACCACTGTGTGGGGCTTTAGCTTTGAAGATGTTTTGGGATTCAGGAATGGTATGAGCTTTTGGCTCCTCTGGATGACGCTGTAATGCCACTTGTTTCTGTCTCTGGGCCAAAATTTATTCCTCCAGATGGAAGAATATTTCTCCATCGTGTCTGTGTATTCCTTGTTTTTGTCTGTAGTGATATGAAATAGGAGAAAGTTGGGATGCAGATGATGATACTCATTTTACAAATTTGCCACGTAAACTACTAGAAAGGAGCCCTGTTGGTACAAGGGTTAAGCACTCAGCTGCTAAGCAAAAGGTGGGTCCGCTCTGCAGGAGAAAAACCTGCTGATCTCCTCCTGTAAAGATAACAGCCTAGAAAATCCTATAGGGGAGTTTACCATCATCACATTTGGTCACTATGAGTCGGAATTGACTTGACAGCACATAGCAACAACAACAAAGTACTAGAAGTAAGGAATACAAAGAAGTAGCAATTTACTCTCCATACCCTGAGAAACCAGTTATGTCCTGAATTGTGACCACCAAAAAGATACGCTGAAGACTTAAACCCTGTACCTAAGAATGCGACCTTGTTTGGAAACATGGTCTTTGAAGATATTATCAGCGAGGTTAACATGAGGTCATATTGGAGTTATGTGGGTCTTATTCCAGTATGTGCGGTGTCTTTATAAAAGGGAAGAGACACAGAGAAAAGACAGCCATGAAAAGATGTATCCATAATCTACATAAGACGACCAAAGGGTCAACAGCTATTTTAAAGCACTGATGAGAAGGTAGTGGGGAGGGGGGGCTGCACAGGGAGATTAAGTGACACAATGTGAAGACTGTGACCAATGTAATTGATCACTATGTCTAGAAACTGGGAATAGGAGTGGGTTTTGCTGTGTGTATTTTCACCAAAAATAAAATTTAAAAAACAAACATGTGGAGCACCAAAAAAGAAAAAAAAAGATGCATCTACAAGCCAAGGATTGCTGGCCATCACCAGAAGCTAGGAGAGAGGCATGGAACAGAATTTTACACAGGGCCCTCAGAAGGAATAAACACGGCTGACACCCTGAGTTCAGAGTCCCGTCCTCCAGAACTGTGAGACAATTAATTTCTGTTCTCATAAGCCACCAGTTTGTGGTATTTTGTTACAGCAGCCTTAGGGGACTAACACACTCTAAGAGGACAGTATTTACCAACCTGGTTTTTTTACTTCCAAGTCCTCTTCTGTCTCTCCCAGGTTCAGGTTATCTATTCTTACCTCCTGTGCATATTCTCTAAAATACAACGTGGATGTAAGCTTGGCCCACGGGGTCATTTGGACTTCCTAGATCAGACACTATTGTGGATATCTATGAGATACCGTATTACACACCAACCAACAACCAGTTGATTCCGACTCATGGCGACCCCATGCGTGCAGACTAGAACTGTGCTCCATAGGGTTTAAGGCTGTGACCTTTTGGAAGAAGATCACCAGGCCTTTCTTCTGAGGTGCCTCTGGGTAGACTCCAACCTCCCAACTTTCTGTTAGTAGTTGTGCGCTTAACCATTTGCACCACCCAGGGACTCTATACTATTACACAGAACCAGGATTTTCAGTTTAACCTGCACGTTGCAATCACCTGGCAAGATTTTTAAAACACCAATAGCAGTCAACACTCAACTAATTAAGTCAGAATCTCTATGGGTAGAGAGCACCAGCAGCAATATTTTGAAATTTCTGTGTGATATTATATGCAGCCCAATATGAGATTCATGTCACAGAATAAGGGTTTGCAAACTAGGGCCCAGTAGACAAATATGGCTCATCATCTAGTTTTGTAAATAAAGTTTTATTAGACCATGGTCATACCCATTCCTTTTTGTCTATGTAGCTTTCATAATGCAACAGCAGAATTGAGTAGTTGTGAAGATCGTATGGCCCATAAAGCCTATAATATTTACTACCTGGCCCTTTCCAGATAAAGTTGGGTGACCCCTGCGCCTAGAAAAAGATTCTACGTGGAAGAATTTTTCTGTTAATGTGATAGAACTGAATGAATTTTTTCTGCATGGGAAACCAAACCCATTGCTGTCAAGTCAATTCTGACTCACAGTGACCCTGTAACGACAGCAGATCTGCCCCATAGGGTTTCCTAGGCTGTAATCTTTATGGAAGCAGACTGCCACATCCTTCTCCCATGGAGCAGCTGGTCAGTTCAAACCACAGACCCTTTGGTTAGCAGCTCAGTGCTTAACCACTGCACCACAAAAAACTAAAGCCAAACCCACTGCCGTCAAATGGATTCTGACTCACAGTGATCCTACAGGACAGCAGAACTCCCCATAGGTTTCCAAGGAGTGGCCCTTGGATTCGAACTGCCAACCTTTTAGTTAGCAGCCAAGCACCTAACCACTGCACCACAAAAAACCAAAGCCAAACCCATTGCCAGTAAGTCGACTCTGACTCATAGCGACCCTATAGGACAGTAGAACTGCCCCAATAAGGTTTCCAAAGAGAAGCTGGTGGATTCGAACTGCCAACCTTCTGGTTAGCAGCTGAACGCTTAACCACTGCACCACTAGGGCACCTGAAAAACAAATAAATAAGAACTCAGTGATCAAGATAAATAATATTATAAAATTTTTAAAATTAACCCTCTGCTTTGGAACCAATTCTGGCTCAAGCCACCCTACAGGATGTAGTAGAATTTCCCCATAGTGTCCAAGGCTGTAATCTTTACAGAAGCAAACCGCCACATCTTTCTGCCACAGAGCCGCTGATGGGTTCAAAGCACCAACCTTTTGGTTAGCGGCCAAGATCTTTAACTATAACTACTGTGCCACCAGGGCTCCTTCAGGTCAGAAGGCACTCAAAAATACCACTGGGGAAGAGCTGCCTCCTTGAAGTAGAGTAAGATGGCTCAGAAATAAGAGCCGTCACATGAACAGACATATGCATACCCATGTTCATTGCAGCAGTATTCTCAATAGCAACAAGATGGAAACAATCTAAGTGCCCATAAAGATGAATCGATAAACAAAACTATAGTACATATACAGGACAGAAATACTATGCAAGCATAAAAAAAATGATGAATCTGCAAAACATCTCACAACATGGATGAATCTTGAAGTCATTAAGCTGAGTGAAATAAGTCAATCACAACAGGACAAATACTGTATGAGACCACTATTATAAAAACTCAAGAAAAGGTTTACACACAGAAAGAAATAATCTTTGATAGTTATGAGGGAGGAGAGGGATGGGGCGGGGAAATCACTAACGAGATAGGAGACAACTTTGGTGAAGGGGAAAGACAACACACAATATAGGGGAAGTCAGCACAAGTTGACCAAATCAAAGGAAGACACTTAGAGGAACACAAAAAAAAAAAAAAAA